GAGAGAGAGAGAGAGAAGGGTGGGAGTGGGGGTGCGGGGGCGGGGGGGTGGTTTGGCTGCCAAAACAGAACCCCCATGACAGGTCCCAACTTCTCTCCATAACTTTATAGTAAAAATAACTATGGGACAGCTGCTAGACTTCAGAAAACCATAGTCCATTGCAGTCGTCATGATTCATGGATGGCGATATAGAGTGTAGGGCCAACAGGATATGACCTCCTCATGTGTCCCATAACTTCTCCATCACTCTATCATATCATTGGACAGAGTCGATTCCAATGGACAATGGCAAAATCATAATCTATTTACTTAGTAGTAGTGCCTTCTCTTATGTGAGATAGCAGCCTCATTCTGAGGCTGATTTGTTTAATTTAATTTTTTGCAGAAATTAGAAGAGATGCAATGGACCATACGGCAAGTCGAAATGGACCTAAAGCGCACAATGGAGCACCCTGAATCGTAACTTGTGCTACATGAGGTTGGAGTATTACTTAAGTACCATGGCAGGTTATATATGTAAGATAACAATATTCATAAACATGTGTTTACTTGATGAAACAAGAACATACTTTATGCACTGTCTTGTTGGTCGGAATCTCTATACATTTAAATTTAATTTTTATGGTGACTGCCTTAGAGTCCAATTAAAGAGTAGTTGTAGGGATGTTGACAACAAAAACCAGTAGTAGATGGTGCTGTATTGGTTTTTGCATCTACTACTGGGTTTTGTTGTCCCTTGTCATCATATAGCCTCTAGCATGTAGAGGCATCAAATTTTGAAAAATAAATAAATGAAAAGTTCTGAAGTGTAAATGAATAGGTTTCTATAAGGTGTCGACTTTATATTTTGGAAGTAAGTGCATGTCAAAAACTTTTAATAAAAGGTTGTCCCGCAATAAGAAAATCTTGGAAAATAAGGGCTTCTTGTAACATATTATTTGGACTTGCATTTTCAAAATTTACAAGTATTTATAGTTCTGCTTAATCTAGACCATTTTTTAAGCTTTAAATTTTATAATTAGGGGTGAAAATAAAATTTTAAACTATAACATGGCTTTCCTGCACAAAAACTGCATCTTTGCGAGGGGTATGCCTTACTTCGATTTTTTAAAGTTTAAGCTGCACCCATGTTTAAATGGAATGATTGACCGGAACGAGAAATATGACTCTATTTCTTTATGGGTGCAGTTTGTATAGAGCCTAGGCTCTAAACAATCAAATTAGAGCCTACCTTCAAATAGTGTTGAGAAATGTGGTTTCAGCACTGGAAATCTTTGTGGTAGCATTAGAATTTATTTTTACTTTTATTTATAAGTTTTAAAGCTTTCAAAATAGTGTAGATCGACATATCTATGAAAACTTGAGAATATTGAAAATTGATAGTCAAAAAATGTATTACAAAATACATTATTTTCAAAACTTGAAATTCAATTTTTTTTCATGTTCATGTGTCTTGATGTCGAGATGATCAATTTCAGGATATTTGGACATCAAAACAATCTCTTCTAATAAAAATTTTGGAGGTAGGTTCTAATTTGATTGTTTAGAGCCCCGGCTCTATATAAACTTTTCCCTTTCTTTATTGCAATGCTTCGTGGATCTCTCTCTATGACAAGTGAAAGTTCATTCATGATAAGTATTGTAAAGGTTGTTGACAAGCTTCTGATTTATTGATTCACTGCTCTTAGAAAGTAATGCATAGGAGAATGTTATGCAACTTACATATGCACATTGATTTTAGGGTACACATTGATTTTAGGGGAATTATCATATTGAACCGCCAATGAATCTGTACTTCAATAAAAAAACTGTACTTGGATAACACTTATCCGGATCGGAATTGGCCAAAATCGATTGGGAATTGGTGGGAATTGATTTGGCTCCTGTCAGGAGTGGGAACTGGATGCTTCCTGCAGAACCAGCCTGTACCCTGTACCCTTGGGGAACTGGGCAGTTCAATTAGTTTTTTTTTTTTTTAATTTTTTTTTTTTTTATTGATTAATTCTCATTAGTCGGATCACCAATCCAGATTGGCGATTTGTTGATCCAGTTTAGCTTCCTATATGGTCCATGGTTAGGGCTGGCAATGGACATGTTGGCCTGGCCCTAAATAAGTAGGCTTAGGGCACAAAATGTGGCCCGAGGCCCAGGCCAGGGCTAGGCCACCATGTCCCGAGGACATCCAATATCTGTTGCAAATGATGGATGGTGGAGATTAAGTTTACTTGGGTGACTGATCTGGTGAACCCACTACTGTTACTATGCATTGCTTTGAGTACCAAATCCCCTTTAATTGTTACCATGGTCTGATGCCCATGTGGTGCACTATATCCTATGCTTCATTCGATTTGGATTGTTCATGACCATAATCAAGTGGGAATAATGTACCTGATTTTGCTTTCTATTGGTCCTGACTATAATCAAGTAGGACTACTGTACCTGATTTTGCTATACCAAAATGATTGTACCAGTAGGAATAATGTACCCTTATTTTGCTATACTAAAAGGACAGTACCAAATAGAGTTCTTCAGGAACATCTGTCAAAAAATCTATAGCACTAGACTTCACCTAAAGAGCATGTTCACTCTAGCTCTAGGAGGAAGAGAGACAAATGTGGATACTTGCTACTAATACAAGGGAAAGGTTTCTATACTTTCCCTACTGCATAGAACATACATGATTCCTCCCCCCCCCCCCACGGTCCTGCATCTAGCCATCCAATTTATATTCGACTTCTCAAAGTGTTTTTATTTTTGTTTTTTCTATAAATTATATGAATATGAAATTGATATATGCCATCATCTTAATTGATGCACCTATATAAATTATTAAAAAAGAATTTTTTGATAAAATATAATTACAACAATACCCTTTGAAACTTTTAGGGGTATTTTGGTCAATTTTTTATTGATAATATTTTTTTTGTATTTTTTTTACAGGTGCGAGTTTAAGAGAGGAATGGACGCCCAACATTTGGTGTCAAAATAGTTTGTAAAAAAAATTTAAAAATAAAATGGTGTAGAGATGTGACATTGTGATTGGGGCCATCTTAGCCATCCATTCAAAATGGGCAGATAGATAGATATAAGTTTTTTGCAGTAGAGGAAGCATGGAAAGCTTGCCCTTAGTTTAAAATCTTTGTTTACGTTGAACTTTGGGATAAAAACAATTTTTTCTTACTTGCGTAAAGTTTACACACCTTGTGCATGTGCTGTATGATTTGCAAGTGAAGTCATGGTTCACGTTTTTCTATTATTTTTTGAGAGATTTATCAAAAAAAGTATTTGGTGAGTTGGCTGACTCACTAGTTTTGGGCGGTCCCTTTACAAAATATATCTCAAAGATGTATTTTTTATTCAAAATTTTAGAGTTTGATAATCTCAATCATGACAATGATCTAAATTTGGAAATTTTCCTTTTCAAAAAATATAAATGTTATTTTTTTAATTCTTTTCTTCACCATCCATTTTAACTTTTAAGTGGATGTAGCATTTTTTGACATCTATCTTAGATATGGATCTTAGATAGAAAAGAGACTGTACTATAATAGTTGAGGCGGTTTGACTCACCAAAACAGTGTTCTTATCAAAATGTACCTGCTTATCAACATTGGATGCGGTTTGTATAGAGCCTAGGCTCTAAACATTCAAATTAGGGCCTACCTTCAAATACTGTCGAGAAAAATGTGGTTTCAATATTGGAAATATTTGTGATAGCCTTAAAATATATTTTTATCTTTAGTTATAAAGTTTAAAGCTTAAGAAATAATGTAGATCGACATATTTATGAAAATCTTGAAAATTGACGGTCCAAAAATGCGCTGCAAAATACACTATTTTCAAAACTTGAAATCCAAAACAACTTCATCTAGTGAAATTTTTGAGATGGGTTTTAATTTGATTGTTTCAAGCCTCGGCTCTATATAAACTTTTCCCATCAACATTTTATTCATTTTCAACCCTCCCAACTCACAATCACTTGTATTTTATTGAGCTTATAGAAATTAAAATAACAGTAAATAAATAAAGGGACTAATTTGTATAAGGTTGCAACTTTAAACAATCAAATTAAGGTGCTCCTCTAAATTTTATCATAAGATATAATTTTGAAATAAAATTTCTTAAAATGACCTAAAAGTCTCTTTTTATCTCTAGCTATAAAATTTTGAACTAAAAAAATTAGTTCAAATCAAGTAGATCTATACATATGAAAATATTAAAAATGGATAGTTCAAATAAATATCTTGTAAGATGCACTATTTTTGAGATTCAATTTTTCATTTTTTTATTTTCATACATCTGGATGTCGAGATTATCATTTAGAAGATTTTTCAACATCAAAACAACCTTCAACAATAGATTTTTGTGGTGCACCTTAATTCTACAGTCCAAGGTTGCAACCTTAAATGAACTTTATTTTTTGATAAATTAAAGAAAATGTTTTGATGGGATTGCGGCCCTATTGAAATAAGTTAAGTCTCATCCCAAAACTCATTGAAAATTATAGTTCTAATATCGAAAAACTTTCAAATCCAATCATCTCGACCTTGACCCATTTACTTTAGATATAAGGTCACAATTATTACCGAATGTTGATGTGAAAGTGGGTAGTTGGAGATATGTATCATGCACAACTACCAAACGAAAATTTCTTGAATGTGGTGACACATAAATTTACTAAATTTCACATCTAATGGTTATAAATGATTGAAACCTTTTTCTACCAAAAAAAAATAGACGGTTTAATGGTATAAAATCCTATTTTTTTTTAACATTTATAAAATAATTTGGATGTAGAATGATAAATTTGCTAACATACTGTTTTTCAGAGCACGTGGTTCTGGTTAATTCGAAATGATTCTTCATTTTAAAAGGCAAAGGTTTCGCTAGAAAAATAGAAAATGGTATTAAAATTTGTGTGTGAACAATGTTTGAAAACCCTATGATTCCCGATCCGGATCAATTATTTAAATAAAGAATCGTTTTGGATCGAACCGGCTCCAAACCCAGGTGTGGTCAGACCCCACAAGTCAGGACCACCGAGCAGAGCAGCCTAGGGTTGAGACAGGATAAACATTAGGTTACAATTGAAGATTTGCTGTGCATAACTACTAACTTATGCGTGTATTGATAATATGCTGATATTGGACAATTTCTCAAGTCGTAAAAGAAAATCAAATGTGTTTTTTCCTCAGTATCAAATAAACCATATAATATTTCCCCTTTTTTTCAATAATAATTACAATTATTGTGAGAAAAATGTTCATAAATCTTCTTTTGTCTTTTCTCAATATAATCACTAACATCAATTGTGTTTTTTCTAATTATCAAATAAGTCATCTGATATTTCATCGTTTTTTCAATAATAATTACAATTATTGTGCGAAAAATGTTTATAAAACTTCTTATGTCTTTTTTCAATATAATTACTATTATTATAAGGAAAATGTGGATAGTAATAACAATAATTACTATTATTGTAAGGAAAATGTCGATAATATAGCAATAATAATCACTATTATTGTAACAAAAATGTCGATAATATCTTATGATATTTCATATATTTTCAATAACAATTACTATTATTATAAACAAAATGTTGATAATGTTGGACGAAAACGATTTGTATGGAGTAAATGTGAAACTACAAAATCCCTTTTATTTGTTGGATCGTAGGTTGTGCGTTACTCTTTCATTGGTGTGGTTTGCATAAGGTTGCAACAGTAAATCAATCAAATTCAGGTGCACTTTGGAACTCTGTCATGAGATGCAATTTTAGTATAAAAAATTCTTAAGATGGAGCAAAAGATAGTTCAAATCAAGCATATCTATAAAACACATTAAAACTTGGACTCTCCAAATAATATACTGCGAGATGTATTACTTTTAAGACTTGAAATACCTTTTTTTCTCCATATTTATACATCTCGATGTTGAGATGACCAATTAAATAATATTCCGACATCAATATGAAAGACAAACTGTATTTCTCATATTGTATTAAAATTGTATACAAGCCCTAATTTTATAAGGTTACAAAACCGTATAAATGTCTTACATGCTGCTACTAAGTAACGTATATGATAAATCACGTTCCTAATATGTACAAGCAATATACATTCACATTCCTCTTCAAATTCGAGATGATTTCCAAGAAACTATGAAGAGTTTGGACATAAACTGAGACAATTGAGGTGCAATATGAGTTTTTGTAAAGAAGTCCGCTACTTCTGTAGATGAGGGAACACACGGAGGAGAAATTGTGCTTGATTATGTCATTGTGAGGTAAAAAAAAATTAAAAAATTGTGTCTGCCAGGTATTTTTGTCGCACGATGTGACTATCAACTTCAATATGTTTAGTGCGTTCATGAAATTTCGAGTTGTTTGAAATATAGATGTCACTCTTATTATCGCTTAAATTTCCTTGTTTTATATGATCCCAATTAGCAATACATGACATGCATGCAAACTTGAACGATCACGGAAAAATGTATAGTGAGTAACGCATCCGAAAGCAGCCTTTGCCTCAAATATTTGAATTTGGAGCTCCAAAATCACTGTGCAGATCTGATTATATGTGAAGAATTAAAATGGACCACTTAGAAAATATATAAAAAAAAGAGCGTGTAAACTATGCTCCCTTGAGAGCATATTATACATTTACTCCCTCTGGAAAAACAGTTTTCAGGGTTGGATTTCTTGATTTGAAATATTGCTATCCATCTAATTAGGAGTAGATGCTTATTTTCAAAGAAAAAAATTGAACTGAAAGTTTGCTATCCATCTAATTAGAAGTAGATGCTTATTTTCAAAGAAAAAAAATTTGAATTTTGTGTTGAATGTCTAACTCATTCCCTCCAAAACTTGGATGGTTCTAGTGCAATCATGGGATGCCATCTTTTTTAGTTAGATAGAGTGAGATGTTTAATGTTTTTTTTTTGGTTGAGGTTGATCTTTAGAATTTGGGATTTTAAATATATTTCTAGCTTAAGTTTTACCCAAGGGAGTAGGAGTAGATGGATAGTATACTCTTGCAAGAGCAGGAAATCATTTAGCTTATATGTAAGGATGTAGTAAGCCTTGCCTCGATTCTTTAACCGGAAAGCACTTTGGGTATCACAAGTATAATGGCTCTAAATCTAATTTCCAGAATTATAAAATTTGAAGTTCAGAACAAGTATGATGGCTCTAAATCTAATTTCTAGAATTATAAAATTTGAAGTTCAGAAACGGCACTGATCTTGCAGATCTATGAATACTTATTTTTAAGATGAAATCAACTGTCTAGATAATTGTTACAATATACACTATTTTTAGAGCATGAAATCCTAATTTTTTGTCACAACTATAATGGTCAAGGTAGATATAATCGATTTGAAGGTTTTCTAACCCTAAAACTGCAATTTTTAGTGAATTTTGAAGTGATGTTTTACTTATTTTGATAGCATTACAGCCCTTATATTATGTAATAACCTCACCATGACCTTTTTAGTGTTTTTAGGGGCCGTTTCTTACGAAATACTTCATTTTCAATGTTTGGGTACACACATGGGCGTGACACAGCAACAAATTACCTTGCAAGGCTTCTCAAAAGTCAAAACTGGTGCATAAAAACTCAAGCGAGCCAACTCGGACTTACCTTGGAGAGCCTGAGTATCCCCGAGTTGGGTGGTCTGACTTGGGTATCTTAAAAAATTTAATAAAAATCCAAATAATGAGGAATTTATTTTTAATATACTTTTTTTTTATGTTTTCTCTCATTTTCGTATGGATTGAAAATGTTTTGGCCTACTTATTTATACATTTCCCCTTATTTTTGGATCATTTCTAAAAAGAAAAAGTTCATATAGAGAGCTGAGGCTCTAAACAATCAAATTAGAGCCCACCTAAGAAATTTCACTAGAAGAGGTTGTTTTGATGCTTAGATATCCTCAAATTGATTATCTCGATATCAAGATACATGGACATGAGAAAAAAATGGATTTCAAGTTTTGAAAATAGTGCATCTTGTAACGCATTTTTGGACCGTCAATTTTCAAGATTTTCAAGTTTACATAGATGTATACGATCTACACTATTTTTTATTCTTTACATTTCATAATTAAAGATAGAAATATATTTTAAGGCTATCGCAAAGATTTCTAGTATTGAAACCACATTTCTTGACACTATTTGAATGTGCGCTTTA